TGGCTTTCTAAGCTTCAAGCCCATTTTTTTTCTTTCTTTTGTTAATTTCATTTTAGTTTTTGTTAATTTCATTTCAATTAACCATAGAAAAAAAAAACAACTATTGGCTTTAAAACTTAATTTGAGCTTAAAATTGGATTTTGGACTTTCTTTGAGCTTTTAAGTCGATATCACTTAAATCGGGCCTTAAGTCGAATAAAATCAAATTGGGCCTTAAGTTGAATACAATTGGATTGGGTTTTAAAAATTGAATTTGAACTCATAGTTTAGACTTTGGGTATTTGAATATAGGCCCTCAAATCTTAATTCAAAATTAACCTAATAATGAAATTGAATTAGGCCTAAATTTAAGCAAAAATGATACAAAAATGATTAATTCAAAACAAAACTCATTCGAGTTAAATTAGATAAATCCAATTAAAAATGCTTAAATTGGTCTAAATCAAAATGTTTAAATCAAGTATAAAACTTAACAAACTCGAATCGGTTCAGATAAAATTATGTGTCTATAGCAAAACTATTCTTTTTGTAAAAATTCAATGGAGCAATCATACACCAAGAGAAACAACTTGAAAAATGAAAGAAAACATTAAAAAAACAACATTGTCACTTATTTGAAAATAAAGGTAAGTCAAATTTTGATGATAAAATTTTTTATAAGTTGGTGAAAATATAATGCCCGTATAAAGAAAAATGGACCTAATCGAGATATATTATAGTTAGTAGGACTAATATATTAAAAGTCCATAATTGACGATTTCTTAATAATTAAAGATACAATTGAGCTATTTTATTTACTCTCCTTTCTCATAAGTTAAATATAAATCTCCACACAAAATATATAAGAAATGTCAAGTTTTAATGTGTTCTTGATTCTTTTATATTTCATAAATTAGCTTCAGCTATGTGTGTAAAACATTTCAAATATGGTAACCTTTTTTTTTTTTCAATGAATGATGGGTTTGTTAGCCTATAAATGAAAAAAATAAAGGTATCTTACGTCATGTAGAGGTGTTCATAGGTCGAGTATGGTTGAATCAAGCTTATGCTTAATATTATTAGCTTATATGCTTGCCTAGACTCGATCCAACCTAAAATTTCGGCCACAAAATTTTTACAAGCCTAGCCCAAATTAAAAAATTAAATCTCAAGTCCATCTTTTAAATTTAATTTATATAATAAAAATTAAAAAATTTTATTAAATTAAGTTTAATGAGATTATGTTTAATTCACATATATATAAAAATTAAAAATAAAAATTATATAAAAGTAACAATTAAGTTTAATAAAATATATAATTTTTATTTTTAATTTATATATATGTGAATTAATTTATATATAATTCACATTATATATAAAAATAAAAATTTATATATATGTGAATTCCGATTGGGTCAAGTTTGGGTTTTAAATATTTTATCTAAGGCTAGGCCCTAAATTTAAACAACTCTAAAAATTGTATTCAAGCCATTTAATGATTTTAATTTTTTATCCAAGCCCTCTTAAAACTCGAGTGAGCTTTCAGGCTTAGACGGGTAGCTCAATTCTTAAACAAGTATAATACAATGGTTTATTTGATGCGGCATACTTTCATAAAAACAACAAGAATACTAAAAAATTTGACTCTATATAGTTTGAGAAAATATATATATATATTTTTAGAAATAATTTTTAATTTTTATTTTTTAAAAGATGTATTTGATAAATGAAAATAAAAATTATTTTCTAAAATGCAAAAATAAGAAAATAAATAAAATATTTAATCATATTACTATTAATAGTATCTAATTATAAATATAATATATTTTTATTAATTAATGGCATTAAAAAGTGTTCAAATATAATAACATATAAAAAGTATTATACATCCCTTATTTTCTTAATTGAATTTTTTTTTCATTTTTTTAATTATTTTTTTAATTATTTTTATTTTTTAAATTTTTTTTTTATTTTCAATTATTAAACACATTTTCACTCATATTTTTTATTTTTTAAAAAAATAAAAATAAAAAATAACTCTATTTTTTAAAATCAAACACTACCTTAATTTTTTTATTTTGCATAGTTTTAAATATAAGATAAATTTTCTTTAATTTTTATTTAAACTATCATAGATTAAATTTTGATTATCGAAATTCAGAGTCTTTTAATTTAATTCTTAATAATAAAGACCTAGCTAGCCTACCTAAGTGACCAATACTAAGTAATAAAAAAAAAAAGACAAAATGAGAAGCTTTTGCTAAGATGAAAAAATTTCTAAGACTGCATTTGGTTTCAATTGCACCTCTAATGAGGTGCAGTTGCCAACAAAAATTGTGCCCACTAGTGTTCAACATCTATTTGGATGTCAAAGCTATGGCATGATTGTCTACTTTTTTTCACTGGAAGATTTAGCTCCAGTTGAAAAAACGCATCGAGCTTCAAAAAAAATTTTTTCATCCTTTATTTTATATTACAATGACAAAAATATCCTTATATTTTAATTTTTTATTTTTATTTAAAAATTATAAAATAAATTTATTAATTTATTATAATAAATAAGTTTTATTTATTATATAATAAATTAATATATAAATAAAATTCTAATTAATTTTATAAATATTAAATAATTTAAATTTTTTGTTAAATATAAATTATATTCTAATATATTTAATGATTTTTTTTTCACTTTATCGTCACAGTTACTTTTACATCCAAACATATATTTTATTATTGATTTTAATTTTATAATTAAAATATTTAATCTTATCACTACAGTAATTAATCTCATTTTTATTATTATTTTTTATATCACCGGAGTCAATCTTATTGTCAATCCAAATGGCCATAAATTTTGGACTACACGTTGCGAAAATGTAAAATGCTTAATTATAAATTTGGATTGCCAATATTACCGACAAGTTTGACTATATAAAATAGAGAAAGAAATTACAAAAAAAAAATGTCATTAAAAAAATTAAAATAGGTTCATCAAAAAAAATAAAATAGTAAAAGTTAATTTCAATATTTTTTTGTCCATTAGCTAGGGGTTAAACAATGAAAAAAGTGAAATTCAAACTCACGTTTTAAATGTTTTTTTTTAAGTTTTTTACGTCATTAAATCAAGAAACTAAAGATATCAATTTTAATGAAATTTGAAATAATTTTTAATTAAATATTTTTTTCCATTTTGAAGAAAATTAAAGACCCTTGTCAATACTAAAAATAATGGACATTCTCCCTTAATTGATGCATATAAGAATATGTATATATATTTTGAATAGATATAAGAATATGTTCAAAACTTTTAGAGAATATGTTTTAAAAAAAATTATCAAATACACTATTAAAATTATATTTTTAGATAATTGGACTTGATTCAATTTTAATTGAACATGATCCGAATTTATTATAAGCATAATATATTGTATATACCTAACGATACGTATCAATTTATTTATAAATAAAAATGTTCCCAATTCATGATAAAATGGGTTTTACATATATATATATATATATATATATATTGATTTTATATTGAATCAAATTATATGGTTGCGTAGCATTTTGATAACTATGAAGCAAAATTATCATCTAATCCATGGGATCTACTTTTTTCTTAATAATAATTTTATAATGTGATTCATATCTAGAAGCGTGACATTCCACCATGGAAAGTTTAACATGTTTCCTATAGAAAAACCCTTCATTAATCTCTTCAAATTATCACATACATGTGGAAGCTTCCAAGAATATTTTCATGAAATATCGTCTTCTAACCGTAGATTTGAACTACTTAAAGAAACGAAAGAGAATGAACAAACAATAAAACATATGCCTAACCTACATCTAATTGCCTACCTACATTGTCCTAAAGAGGAACTCAAAAAGAGAGAAGATAAATATTATAGCTTTTGTATGTCTTTTTCACCACTATCAATCAAGCATTTCTCACTAATAGATCTTAAAACTTCTAGAATAAGATCTTAAAATATGCCTTTTAATATTTTTTTATAAAAATTATTTTACCTATGAAATTTTTAAATTTCATAAATGAAATTAATGAAATGACACATATTCTTTATGATATATTAACAAATAGATAATTTATTAAAAAAATAAAATGCATGTCCATCATTTAATTTCCTTGATAAAATTAAAAAATTACCATGATAATGTATCAAAAACGAATTTTTTCATAATAGTAATTAAATAGTTTCAATCTTACACATCAATACCAATATAGAGGCATTGTTCATTAAAAAAATGACTTGTTCCAATTAGTTAATGCCCTAACATTCCAAAAATGCTAAACACACACGGCGTAAAAGAAAAAAAAAAATGATCCTTATCATATATTCAAATATACCCCATTAACCTAAATGGCATCCTACAACATTCTTTAACAATAAACAATTTCTAAAGCATGCAATTAAGAATTGCTTATGGAAACAAGTGTTCCATGTGGAATGGATCATAAGCCATTTTCAAGAAAACATCAACAACCCACTAGCTTTTTCTCGCTCATTCCAGAGATCATTATGCTTATTCCGAAATGTTAAACATTCCTACTTTTTGAGGAGTGAAAGATCGAAATAAGATATAAAAATAAAACATCCTCACTACTATTGTCTTTAGACGACTGGTTTTTGGCCTCAAAAAGAGCCGGACAAGACAATGTAGTTCGAGTTGTGTTAAAGAATCACGATTATCGCAGGCATAGTGACATGTGAAAATATAATTGGTTGTAAAAGATTGAGCTGGTAAGCACCTAGACGTTTAACACTTTTGTTAAAGTGAAAGGAGAGGAAGGATCATAAAAGAAGGAAGAGCTCAACCAAAAATTTGATTCACAGATCTTGTCTTAGTGGTGTAATGAGATCATCAATGTATTAAATTAAAAAAAATGGAATTGACATGATTGAGGCCATATATAAGAGGGCAAGGCTGAGAAGTTTTGTGCCATACAATTTTGGAGACAACAATTTTTATAAAGTGAAAGTAGTTGTAAACTTGTAATAATGGTTAGAATGACGGGTTGGGAAGCTCCAAAACAAGGATGGAGGAAAGGTCCTTGGACTCCTGAAGAAGATAAGCTGTTAACTGAATATGTTAACTTTCACGGAGAAGGAAGATGGAGTTCATTAGCTAGGTCTGCAGGTATAATTTTATTCTTAATTTTTGGGGATCATTCATTTCTTTTTCTTTTTTTTTTCACAAATGAGCCCGTAAATCTGGGGATAAGGAAGGGATTACAAGTATTAAAATTTGAATTCTAAATCTACCAGATACCACCTCTTAAAGATAATTATATAAATCAGTTGAGTTAAGCTCTAGATTCGGTATCATTCATTTCTCCTAGCGTCATTCACCAGCTAAATTAAATTAAGAATATTAATTGAATTACGGAGTTTATTTCAGGTTTGAATAGAAGTGGAAAGAGTTGCAGGCTTAGGTGGGTGAATTATCTAAGGCCTGGTCTTAAGAGAGGTCGTATAACACCCCAGGAGGAAGGGATCATTTTTAAATTGCATGCCCTTTGGGGTAACAAGTAAAGCTTCTTTTCTCTTCACTTCTACTTTAAAATTAATTATGTTATGTTTTTCTATTGTTAAATTTATTGTGTGTTTGTATGTGAAAACAGATGGTCAACAATTGCTGGATACTTGCCAGGTAGAACAGACAATGAGATAAAGAACTATTGGAGAACTCATTTTAAGAATAAGGAAAGGTCCTCTCAGAAGCAAGAACAAAGAAAAGCTCAAATTCTAAAGCTAAAACAACAGCAACAGCAGCAGCAGCAGGATGGGGAGCCACAACAAGATAAAGATCAGACGGCAGCAGTTGGAGATGGCAAACATATAAATAGTCAAGTGACTGATGAGGCACAAGGGAAGCAAGAGACGGTTTTCATGCACCTAACTTCAGAGGATCAACGCTTGCCCGTTATATCTCAAGAGGCTGCTGCTTCTTGGTTAGACCGGTATTTGGTGGATGAAGGCTGCTTATGGGGTGGTGGCTTGTGGAATCTGGATGATCCTTATCAGCCTGGTAATTGCAACAAGATTTTTGCCATGCAAAATCAAGCAACAGCTTATAATTCTGTTGGAGGGGATGCAATCAATGTATACAATGGAGGAGGTCACATTATCTAAGCATAATGTTGGTACTTTTTGAGGATGTATTTCCCAATTAAGAAGAGCATATGTAATTGGAACTTCTCCAATTCTAATTAATGTTGAATTGATTACCTGTTCTATGAATTATGATGTGTAACATTGTTTGCAAAGCAGCTAATATATGTAACAGATGCATAATCATTCTTTTCTTTTTTTTTTTAAATTTCCCTATGCATATAACAATATAGGCTGGTTTTGCTCCAAAATCAATTCTTTAATAAGTTGAATGTCTTGCTTAATTTTGTTTCATATGCTGAAATTTTCCCACAAAAGAGATAAATTTCTATTCCTTATACTTCATTCGTGCTTTATGAGTTTTTTAATTTCAATTTATATGATAAAAAATTTCAGAGAAATCAATAAAAAATAAAATCAGAATGACGACGTCCAATCTAAAATTTATTAATAAATAAAAAAACAACGGCCCATGTAAGGTTAAGCAAACTTAAAATATTAATTAATGCCATGGGATTCCCTAACAAGAAGCATATGATTGATAAGAAAGAATTAGTAGGGTGAATTGCTTTTAATTAACAAACCTGTTTTGAACGTTGACAATAAAAAAAAATTAGCAGCAGTTTGGGGAAAAATGATTATGAATTTTTCTTCATAAATTAATTAACTATTATACCCTAATCTTTCTATTAACAACTATATCATTAAGTCAGCATCCAATGATTGTCATATTAACGATCAATTAAAATGGTTCAATATTTAATTAATATTGGATAAATCGACTAACCACATCGATATAAATTCAATATAAAAAATAAGATCGACACACTTATAATTCATTCTAATCCTTCACACTCCTTCTACCGACCCTAATCCGTTCCCTCACCTTCTTCTATATGCTCTCCCTCATCTTCTGCACATTTTTAAATTAAAACGGGAAGTGCGCTCTAAAATTCTACCCTCAATGCTCTCCAACCATTCTCTTTATGACAAGTCACCCTAATTGCTAGATCGATCTTCTAGTCAACCTTCCAACAAACTTCCAGTCACCAAACACGTTAACAAATTAACATAAGTAACTTTTAGTTGTAACAATGGATCGAAGAAACTTAGGATAGTTCTTTATCTAATGCTACTATTTTTTGTCTCTACTCGGATACAGTGTGTGATAATATAAACATTTTCCAATCTTTCAATTGTATTATTGACATTTAAATCATTAAATTCATGATGATCGGTTGCAGAAATTTTGTTTGTATTTTGTTTTCCATGTAATTATAATAAGTGGGGATTTGGTTTCAGTACTTGCATCCTTGGTGTTGGTCCTGTGTATCAGTATATGCTTTTTTTGCTCTTCTCAACCAAGTAGTTGCCTGTTTATTACATGCATTTCTGGAATATAGAAATCCCATTATTATAGTTTCTTGGGAATTCACTTATATTGATGCGAGTGTTGCATTTTTTTTATTATTAAATTAAAATTAAATTCATATATTTATATTTAATCATTTAGAATTAAAAAAAAATTAACATTTACACTGATATAATCAGATCCTTCCTCTATAAATAATAGTGTTCTAAAATTTTCCCTAAACCTCTTTTTCAAACTTTACTCCTAATTTTGTGTTAATTTATATATCCATCACAGTGAATATATGATTCTTAGATAAATCATTTCAAGCTGTTGTAAAAAAAAAATGATATGATAATTTGTATATTTATATTTATATATTTTATATTTAATATATGTAAACTATAAAAATTATTATGTCATAATTTATATCGATATAAAAAATAAAACACATTTATTTACTATTGTAAACTCATAAACAATTTTTATTGAAATTTAAATCATATCACTTTCATATTTTTTCGTATTATTTTAATATTATACCATCAAATTATATTTAAAATTGTTATCTCTAGTAAATAAATAAATGAAAATTAATTCAATATGAAAATAATCAATCAAGGAAAGTTCACTTTAATAAATTTTAACGTTAATAAGGAAATAAATAAAAAATTGTCAATATTTTGATCTCATAATAAAATTATTAATTAGGAATAAAATAGTTAATTTAAATATTACTAAAAATATATTTATCCTTCACAATTTGTACTTTTAAAATTGATTCTTTTAAATTTGCATATATAGTAATATTAATGTTTTAAAATATGTTACACTAAACAATAAAAAGTAATCTTCTCCCGTACCGTAAATCTCATTCAATCCATAAATTTCATATCACTTATTTTAAGATTCGAATTGGAAATCTTTAAAATAAAATTTTCAATTTCAAGTGCTCAAAGTGGTTTTAGAACCAATGAATCGTTTTCGTGTATAAATGAACTGCCAATACTGTCCAAAAAATCAGTCTATCAAGCCCAAACAAAGAGTTTAGCCCAATGAATAGAGTAAGTATATAATAAGTGGCCCAAATATTTTAAAAAATTGGTAAAAACACACAAATGGCCCATGCAGGTTTCGAACCTGCGACCTTCGCGTTATTAGCACGACGCTCTAACCAACTGAGCTAATAGACCATTGTTATTTTTTTTAAATAATATTAAATATAGTGTTACAGCGAGAGCCAGTCACAAACGATAAGATTGACTTTTGGGATGCAAGGTTTAAGCTCTAAGGAAGCCAGCTCAAGATATGGAACACATGACAGCAAGCGAAGTTGCAGGATTTGGAGTTGGCACTTTGTTAGTATGTGCTACAATTGCTGCTCCCAAAGTTGATGCTTTCATTTCTGCTTCACAAAGAAGGTGAACTTTTCAAAACCCATTTTTCTTTTGTTACAAGTTTTAAACTTTTTTTTTTTTTGAAGTTTGTAAGTAAAACCCAGATTGTAAAAAGTCTTAAAACAATCAAAAGTTTAAGATTTTTGTTTTTGGGTTTGAGTAAATTTTGGCATTTTGATTGTTAGTTTGGTTCATAAATTGTGAGTTGTGACCCCTTCAGTTGTTGTGTTGAGAAATTGTAGATTTTGATGTTGTACCATTAGTCTTTCTTGTTCTGTTGATTGTTGCTCACTTGATTGGTTTTTCAATTGGATGTACTGTGGAAGTGCTATCATTATACTTTAATTGAATTTATAATTGCAATGCCTTTTGCATTCCTAAGATAAAGTTTAATTGCGGGGTTCTTATGACTTTTATGAAATGTTTGCTATGTCTTTATGCTGTGATTTCTGTTCTTTGTGAGGGGTCTATCTCAAAAAGAATGAACGGTCCCACATAGAATTATGAAAAAGATTATCTCCCCTCCAGAAAATTCTGGTGGCATAAGCAAATTCTAACTAAAAAAATGGCATCTGCGGGGAGGTGTTGACCACCATTGTCTTTTACTGTCATGTTTTATTGTTACACTAGTGAAAAATTGGTCCTGAAGCACTGGACTAAATTGAAACAGAATCCTTTCGGAAGCCTCAACTTTGCTTTCCTCTTCCTGGTTTAGGTATCTTGCTACACTACTGTTGGTTCACTTTTGTTAGGAAATGCTTGGCTACCTAAACTGGAATGAATGTGAAAGTTGCATAATAGCAAGTAAGATGCTCTACCTTTCTGATTTTTCTGAGAAATGCTTTAGGGGGAAAAGGGATAAGGGTATAGAATCAGTGTCTAATGGTCGGTGCAAGTGAATGGACTAAATCCCTTGCTTTCTGAACTAAGTTGCACATCAGCTTTATGAACTTCACTCTTCATGTGACAAAGAATGCAACCAAGCATTATGTCTTTGAGTGATCAATCTTCTTTTCATTATCTGAATTTCGGGTATTCATGTACTAGAGTTTTGAGGGAGACTTAATCTGTTGGTTTGCCCTGCTTTGAATTATGAGAAAAAAAAAAAAACAAAATGATTGATAATTGTAATAAATTAAGCTGACATTATAATTATGTAGATTGAATATCTATTTATTGTATGAAGTTAGGTAGTATGGCTTATCTAATATCATAAGGACCCCAAATATTATTCAACTTTGCTAGAAAAAGAAAATTTCCAGGATATGCTTCACCTAACTGCCTTAATCTACACAGTTAGGATCATTTCGCACATGCTGATGTGCAACCTCTTAAAACCGCAGTTCTTTGGGCTTGTGCAAGAGGTGTGGTGATCTAAGGATGATAGCATGCTCAAGATGCAGAGGAACTGGATTAATCAAAGCAAATGGGCCATTCAGTTTTAACCTTATTGATGACTTATATCAGTCCTTTGGGAGTGCTGAATTGAAGGTAAAATCTATTGGATGTACAAAATGTCAAGCTAGAGGTCACTTCAGCTGTCCTGATTGCTCTAATATACCTAAAGTTTGATCCTCAATCATGCCATTGAAGACATATGTACTCTTATGCTCGTGCTTAATATATGATCATGAGCTGTCTCCCCATAGCCATTGTACTTAAAACTTTTGTTTTAATACACTGGATTTTGTAACCCCTCGTAGATGGAGATTTGTGACTGGGGGCCCTATTTATACTATCTTCATATATCAATCTCAATGTTATAATGGATGTGTTGTGAATCTTGTCTCTTCCCACCATTGTACTTAAAACCTCTTTGTCTGAATGCACTGGATTTGGTAATCCCACTTGTAGATATATATATTTGTGAGAGTGGCTTCTATTATCCCACGTGTTTCGTTATTAATCCCAAAGTTATAATGGATGTCCTATGTAATCCTGGCTGTTCAAGGTTTGTGTCAAGCAAGGAAAGCATGTATAATGGTATTCAAGTTCACTATAGGAAGGTGGGTAATTAATTAATCCTTTTTGCCCAAGGCACACTCAAGTCTGCAACCGCTAGACATTGATAAACCATTTTCTGCTGACGATATCTCCATAAAAAGTACTGTTTTCCTCCCTCGCTACCTTTCAAAACAAATGCTCACCATTTCAAAGCAGGCTATGACTAGGTCAACATCAGAATTTGTAGAAACTTGTAACTCATCATGAGTTAAACATAATAATGGTACGTAACTTGAAGTTTAGTTTACTTGATTCATGTAATTACTTTTAAAAAATGATATTTAATAAATTTGAAATTCAAATCTAATATCCTATAACTTTAGGTTGCGGCCTTTTATGTAAAAAATAATAATATTAATAATGATATGTTATGCATTTTGCTCACTCCTAGTACTCTTTTGAAACATTTTTTAGGTAGATATGGAGATGCATTGATCCTTACTGCATGATTGGGGGATCTTGCCGTGTCCGATCCCAAAAATTGCACCCCAGGATTTAAACTGACTTCAAATTTGAATCTACTGATTTAACCATTCTAGGAGACACTCTTTTGAAATTGTAATTAGAAGCTTGTAGATCAAAACCATAGCGCATTTGTTGCTAACCAATACTGCTTAAGTTCTTTCAGAAAGAAGTCAATGTTGACTGTTTTCCATGAATAAACATGGAACAAAAATGGGTGTTCTTTGCTCATCCATGCAGGTGCAAATGTGAGTACATTTGCAAATCTTGTAACATATACTTAAATTATAATGTTTCTTTTAGCTAATTATTTCTGTCTGTTGCCAATCCCCAAAAAAAAGTTACTAGTCATGGACACCAGATTAAAATTGCAACTACTGCTCATATTTTGTGCAGAAAACTTGTGGCATGCTTTAAATATAATCACTACTAGCTAATGTCTGAAAAACTACTCTCGAAGCCTCCAGATATGTGATTATGACATGATTATTATCCATTTTACAGCTTGCTTTTCCATCACTAATTTATAGCTTTTCTTATGTTGAATTCGATTCTGATCACACCCCAAAAGGAATGAGAACGCTGTTGAAGAATCGACAGGGCACCATCTACCTCATTCATCTGTATTTCAGAAGCTCTCAAGTGATGCTATGGCCATGTTTGACTGAATACTCCCAAGGTGATGATCATGTCGTGTTTAAGTGGGTATCGATATCTACCACCATCAAAGGTATCGCCACTGCTTTCACTAAGACCCCTCCGATGTTGACCTACAACTATATGGAAACTTTTATAATGTTATCAAATTTTCATGATTTTCCCTTTTGATTCTTGTTATTTTCTGCTAATCATCGAACAATGGCGATGAAAAAGCATGGTTAATAAGTGCACATACATGGTTAATTCTTTATGTAACGGTTGTTTGATTGAACGATATGATTTTACAGGTCTTGTTTTCACAGTGACTTGTTGAGTACATTGAATCTTTTCAATTCTAATCACTGTTATAAACCTCTTCAAATTTTCCCACCTTAAAGATAATGATTTCGATCTTCAACAACTTTAGCTCTTTACCATTTGAAAATCCCATCATCCTAAAATAGCTATCGGATTCAGCAAAAGTTAGATGAAATAAAAGGGTAAAAAGTGGAAGTGATGATACTAAATGTAGCATTGTGTAATTGGGATATCTTTCTCCACTTTCATTAGCAGATCTTTTCCTTGATGATATTCTCTCTTTGGGTGACCATGTATTAATAAATAAATAAATAAATATTTGTCATACAACTTTCTATTTACAAAAATATATTTTCAGGATCAATCAGTTTCTATTTCGGTATAATTTGGTGAAATATAAATTAATATATGGTTTGTCACTTCATCTTTTAAACATTATATGAATATTACTTTAAACAAAAAATTTTCTTCAAAATATTCATATAAATGAAATGGTTGACAAACTAAAAAAATGGAAAAAGAAAACTTTGGAGTTGGTAACTATTTACCTTTTCTTGTGGAAATTTCTTGCTCATTAGTCATACAAAAGATTTTTTTTTTTTCATTCTTAATAATATTATTTCATTTAAAAAATGAATTATTGATTTAATTGATTAGTTTATTTAATTTGAAATAAGAGATTTTTAATTTGAGTACCTAATTGATGTTGTCTAATAAATGTAAACTTTTTTTTTTCATATTTGAGGCTTTTAAAAATTAAATCATATTACTAAATTAAGAAAATAATAATTTATCAAAGGACTATATAATTGTCGACAAATATAAATTTTTTTTGTGATGCAAGAGACTATATACATATGATTTTATATGGATTGAAAATAATCTAGTTTTATTATATTTTGTATAGGATAATCATTTCAAAAGTTATGATTTATACATAATTATTAGATTGCTATATTTGGTAAATACTTGATGATCTTATGTGACATTGATTTTGAATCATCAAAAGTGATCATATTATTATCTTGGAAGATAATTTAAATCTCATTTAAAAGTGGATTGAGAAGAAGTGACATATAAAATTAATAATAGTTAATATTATCTATTTAGGTAATGTTTAATTCATAAAATTATTGATAGAATAGAATAATAATTATCTCTTATATTATATTTGACTTGTATCTAAAGAAAGGGATAGAGATTGCTAAGAGGATTAATACCTTTTTAGCATAGGATTATTCAATCATCTTTAAGTGAAGAGGATTATTTTTAATCTATGAGATTAAACTTATATATCCAATTATATTCTTAAAAATTATATCAATAATTTAAATTATATAAAATTTGAGGAAAGATGATTTTAATAAATAAATTATTCTATTCTAATCCTTGCATGCATCAAATACAAAATAGAATGACATTATTTAATCTAATCTTATATATAATAATATCTTATTATATTCTATCATAATCTTGTATATTAAATATGATCTTAATATATGGGTTAAAATTTTACTTTTTTTTTCAAAATCTAATTATTTTATATTATAAATTTTATATTTTCAAACTAATATTTATTGTAATAAATTCAAAAATAATTTATATAATTTATTTTAATCTTTTAAATGTTTTATATATAAATTCTAATTTTTTGTTAAATTTTAATAAGTTAGTTCTATTTTCTAATTTTAATTTTTTTTACGTATTTTATATTATAAAATTAGTTTACATATAAATAAATATATTTGATAATTTAATAATTTTATTATATTTTATTATCAAATAAATAAAATCATACTAATATTTTATAAATTATTATTTTTAAATAACATTAAAATCATTAATTTATATAGTTATTATAATATGCAAGATTATTTTTATAAAATCAAACAAAATAATATATAATTTTTAATAATATCAAATACAATAATTTTTAATTTTTAAAAATTAATGATTATGAATCAAATAAATTAATTTCAAAACACAAATAATTAAATCATTTAAATAATTAAATTATCATGATAATTTTAAAAATATACCTTACTTTAGATAGCTAAAAGCTATAATACAAATTTTAAAAATAAATATAAAAGCAGAAAATCCAAAAAATCAAAAGGGCAAAGAAAAGCAAAAACTAGTAGAAAAAACAGGCCGCTTTTGCAAACTCCAATTATTGTACTGTAATTTATTTAGGCACGCGGACCAGAAACAATAAATCAAAGAAAATAATTCACTGACAATGACCATGTTTCCGCTGTCAAATCTCGCCACGTGTCTTCAGTGATTTTTACTCTTTGGATTTACGCCGTCGCTGTTGCTCGCAACGTTACGTGCAGCGTTTCGTGCCTTTTTTTGACAGGCCAATGAAACAACGACAGGTAATTTTTGACGTGTAGTAAGTTGGATACTTTCGGACGGAATCCGACAAATTTGACTTTGGAAAATCTAAGATTGGGTTTTTCTTTTTTCACACGTGTGTTACAAATTAATTACAATTTACAACAGCCTTTTGCCGTGTAATTAAAAAAAAAAGTTATTTTTTATGTATTGAAAATTAATTAGGGGACAATATTGAATTAAAGAAATATAATTATTTAAATTAACAATCTTAAAATTTTTATCATATAATTAATATTAAGACTTAAATGATAGTAAAATTAAATCTAAATATAAGATAAGACAGATCAATTTATTGTATACTAATGAAATGAGATTTGACTTAAACTTTTTGAATAAAGAATACATGCATTTAGTCTCGTATTCTTTATAAAATCCGAAAGGTTTAACGAGTTTTATATAATTTAAAATAAGTATCCAAAGTTGGTTTGTAAAATTCAATTCTACTTTTGTTCAGCTTAATTAATTTAATTCTCACCCTCGTGATTTAGCCTTTTTTAATTGACATACTAACCAAGACATTTTTTTTTTCTTCTTCTTCTTCTTTTTTATGTGAATAATGTTATTATAACTTGTCATGATCAAATAATTGATAGATATTATTTTATCATTAAAAAGTCTTAAGCACTAGTGTTACGAACTTAAAAAAAAATCTTGAATCTTACATCGAATATAAAAAAAAAAAGATCACTGAAATATATAAAGGTTCACATCACCTCTGTCTTGTGAGGCCCTTTTTGTAGAATAAAATCATGAGAGCAAAGAGGTCAGAACGAACAATACCTCACAAGAATGTGAATCGTGACAAGTAGGCTGATTCAGGATACCAGATGAATGGATGTCCAGGTCTCGGAGCCACGCGGGTTGGAGCTTAAGTCTCAACCCGTAACAAATGGTATCAGAGCCAGCCTTAAACCGTTCGATTTACGTCAAGCACTTCGAATGAGGTAGACAGGGTAGCCAACCTTAGTGACTAGGGCATCACGAGGTTGAGTGGGAGAGAATGTCACAGATATAAGAAAGGTCCTGAATCCCATATCGAATATCAAAAAGGAAGGTCACTGGAGTATATAAGGGTTCACACCACATTTTCCTTGTGAGGTACTTTTTGTAAGATAAAACTGTGAGGTCAGGGGCTAGAGCGGATAATACTTCACAAGAGTGTGAATTGTGACGGTCAGGTTGATCTGAAACGTCAGAAGGGTGAATATCCGGATCTTGAAACCGCGCGGATCGAAGCTTAAATCTCGACCCGTGACACTAACACTTAAAAAGCTATTCTTTGCTGACAGGTGAGATTAATTATGAGTTTGGTGATTTAATCCTTCAATTATGGATATGAAAAGTTTTTAGCATAGCATATTTTATCTAAATTATACGGTTTAATAACTTTCCACAAGAATTAAAATGAGCACACCCACAATAACACAATGTGAAAATTTTATCATTCTTTAAAAAAAAAAAAATTACTATTTCTTTTCATTCTTTTCATCATAACCTAATTATATAAAAGACAAATAGATTTAAAATCCAAAATTTATCTGACTTAATTTATGCAGATACCATCAAGAGGGATATATCCTGATTTGAAAGGAAAATTATTCTTAAGATACTTGGTGAGGTTAAAGCAAGTTTTCTCATGTCCTTGCATTTCAGAACAAGTGGTTGGACAAAGGATCAAAAGGGTTAGCCACCATTCCCTTGGAATATTGAAGTCATCGAATAGTCTTAAAGCAAGAGCATTTACGAGCCTTTGGTTTCTCATTAATGGCCCTACATAGCAAGAGTACTTACTAATAATTCAATTTTTTTTTTTTTGTTTTGTTTGGGTTACTTTATTTCAAAAGAGATAAGCAAAAGAAACAAATTGACCATTGTTTTAATAGTTTCAAGCACCAATGCTATTTACATACATATACCATAGTTAATGCTGCTAAAGAAATATTATAATGTTGGTTTTTTTAGAATTTGAGACTCAACTTTAATCTCGTTCTTAAAGGAAAAACGGAGAAATTTTCAAAAAAAAATAATAATTTGTGTTAAAATTTAATTGTCAACAACAATGTGAAAACTTTTTATTACTTGTTTTCAACATTTGATAGCTGGTTGATTATGTGTGTTTTCACTGCAAATTTTTACTAAATAAAAACCGTTATTATCTTCTCAATATTTCAATAACATGCATTACTCATCCAAACATTGTTTCGCAAATTTGGCATTGAAAGAACAAATTGAAGCAATTAAAAACAAAAATAAAGTTTGCCTTCATCACTTAAATTCCAAGCCAATAAAATTCCAAACCACATATATTAGCTAAATCCACTGCTTGTAGTACTATTCGAGCACGATCCTTTTCTTAAATTTTTTTATACAATAAAAAATATAAAAAAATTTACCAATATTAGATTTTAAATTTTAAATTTATTAATTTTTTAAAAAAATTACATAAATTAATTAAATTAAACTCAAATTTTCCTTTTTTTTTTTCTTTTTTTTATTTTATTTTATGGTAGTGTTCCATGTGTTGCTCCGTCGTTATTGCTTCACTTAAGCTTTATGTCTCGTCCTAATTGCAACAGTCTTTTTGTAATTTCGTCACCCTAGTAAGGACAAAAAGTAAGAAATTATAAAACTGAGTAAAAATAAAGCATTTTGACGAAGATAAATATTTCAAACCAATATCAAGGCGACACGTGTGGATCCGTTTTAAGGTGGGTGACGACGTTCCAATGCTTGTGAAGAAAACTAAAAGGTTCTATACTGATGCTTATGAATTATGTGTTTATAGATTTTACATATTATTAATAAAATGATATTATTTTATTTATTTTATTAGTAAGTAAATTTTTTAAATAATATTAATTTTTTATATATTTATTTTAAAAAATAATATTTATTTATTAATAAAATGAAAGCATGTTGTTATTAACAATGAACAAATATAAACTCCAACTAAAATTCGTCGAAAAAAGTTCAATTGAAACTAAAGGGGTCTTTTGACCACGCTCGGACTTGTCGCATGTTGTCATACTGCAGATTCTGCTTCGACACACCTTCCAGACAGTGAGACGTGTCTAATTCTTGGGTATGTGAACATCACGCGCTAAAACTGAGAATGGGAAACTTTTTACTCAAAAGGGAAAATTTTGCAGAAATTATATGAAACCAGAAAAAGAAAGAACAACCCTAAAACAACAAAAAAAATTAAATTAAAAAAAAAAAAAAACCTTTTACATATTGAAAACCTGGGGGTTAGAAAGCTGAAAGTAGAGGAGCACCAAACCTACAAGGAACCAAAAGTTTCTAAGGAATTTTCTCTCTCTTATGATTTTTCTTTTTCTCAAGAATCCAACTTTTCTCTTTGTTTTTCACAAATTTGTTTACATCTGCGGGACCTGAGTCCCTGACATAGCAAAAGAAAGATCACCCCTTCAGCCAACAGCTGCTTCCCAAGAACAAAGAAAAAAAAAACATAATTTTAACAAAAGAAGAAACTATTATATACAAAGAGAAATAGTGATAATCTATACTTGTGGAGGAATAGTTAGCATAAATATATTAAGGAAATAAAGGATAAACAAAAAAAAAAGGGTTTAAAGCTTTTTTTTGGGCAGGTAATGGGGAGAGGAAGAGTGGAGTTGAAGAGGATAGAGAACAAGATAAACAGGCAAGTTACATTTGCAAAGAGAAGAAATGGGTTGCTCAAGAAAGCTTATGAATTGTCTGTTTTATGTGATGCTGAGGTTGCTCTTATCATTTTCTCTAACCGTGGCAAGCTCTATGAGTTTTGTAGCAGTGCTAGGTATCAACCCTTTTGCTCTTTCTTCCATTCTTTTTTTTTTTTCTTTGACTGTTTGACCTGTCAGATCTGTTAATTTGCTTTGCTTTGTTTTGTTCATTTTGAACTTGGGTATTTTTTTTTCTGTGTATTTGATCCTTGTTACTTTTTTTATGAGGATTTAGAGCTTCATTAATTTACAATTCTCGTACTTTTTGCTTGTTTTTTTTGTTCTTTTCTGGTTATGAACTTCTGATCATTCTTTTATCTGATATTTTACATTTTTGTGATTATTTTGAGTTTAGGGTTTAGTTTTTTTTTTTGGTTTGGTATAAGATCTGAATTGGAGTTATGGTTTTCTTTTGTTTGCTTACCTTTAATTATTTTATTTCTGTAGTCATGATAATTTCAAGTAGTTATCTAGTTCCTAGTCCTTAATAATTTTTTTGGAAATTTTTTTTATTGATTAGGCTACAAATTTTCATCTCAAGCAACAAAATGAAGATTTGTATCCAATCAATGTTTGTAAAAAACAAACGATGATTCTCTTTTCTAGGTTTTCTTCTGAAGTTTTGTTCTAGAAACTGTTTATAAGTTCAGTAGATTTTTTTTTCAGCTCTTGACGATTCTATTCCCCTGTTGACAATGAGTACTATACTGTTATTCATGAGCTACATTTATCCAAAAGTCTACCATTGCAATATTCTGTGCATGAATATCTTTTCAGGTTGGTGTAGTTGAACTATCATACTTTTCATGACAGAATCTAGGTAAAACAGCAGGTTCTTCATTCCTACTGTTGTTTCTTTGTGAAAATTCCCCTATGTGCCCTTTTTCAATAAATCAATCTCTATTTGTCAAAATAACTGAAATTCTCCTAAATAAATACATAAAACAAGGTCAGCGATATATATTCTTGTTTTTTACTAGTAAATTGATTGCTTCTTCTGGAGATATCTTATTATATAGATCTCCTTTTATAGTACACTATTTCATTACTCAGAGGTTCTTAGGGTGAAGATTTTGAAGTATTGCATCCAGTACTACTATCTTGTTTGTCCTTTTATTAGATGTTTTCCAGGTTTTATGAATTAATATATTTGTATATTAAGAATTATACAAGTCACCTTTCAAAAAGGGTTTCGATCTATAATATGAATTTTTTAAGAAATTATGTGAGCAGATGTTATGTATGATATTGTAACATCTTGATAGCATTCAGTTAAATCCTTTTATTATTAGCTAATTGATCAGTTCTTTTATGAATTTGAGTCAAATAAAACCATTGTTTTACTCCTAGTAGTTTCCAAAGAAGATTTGAACAGTGGAGGATACAAAGTCATGTCCTCAGTAGGGTTATCTTACCCCTGGTTAATAGGATGTCATGCCTTGAAATGTCCTCGCGTCAATTTCTCAATGGATATTCCTAAAGTGAATCAGTAGCCTAGTTTCAGTTTTTCCTTTTCCTTATTTTCTTTGTTTTTTTAATCCTTAGATATACGAAAAAATTTTTAGTTCAACTTTGTAAGCAGCATTGTATGCACGAATTTATATCATGCAAAGTTGATATTGTGATAAAACTACCTTATATTTATGAGAGTTTATTACCTACAAATTTTTTTACTACAATGTTATAATTGTCCAATCAAAATAAAAATTAATATAACGGTCTATTATTTATAAATGTGAGTTTTATATAAAATTTTGACAAATCTCATATAATTCTAAATTGTAATTGGTTAATTTTATTATAATCAATTTAGGTGATATATTCCTTAAATTTATTATTTTATACTTTCTCATGATTGAACATAGCATGATGTTTTTGGATAATATGTTGCATTATGTTATGTCTTTTATTAATATAAAAGAAATCAAATTATGAATACTATCAATAATACAGAATGATTTACGAAGTGTCAGCAATGGCTTCTCTCTAGTTAGGAAAACAAAATAATATTTATTATCATGCCAGTAAAGCCTGGGCTTGATTGTAAAAAGAAACAAAAAGTTGTTGTGGGATCCTAAGTCATGAAGAAAGTTTTGTGTGATTATAGTATACTTGGCAAGAGATGAAAGACGCTAGAAAAGGGTTAATTTTAAAGGGGGAGAGAAAATGGATATCACTTTTAACTTGAAAAGGAAGTGGAAGATTTCATGAAATAGAGTTTTGCCAAGTAGTTGTATTGTTGTGGCTGACTAGCTTCATTTCAATCTTTCATATATATTTCTCCTTCACTTGATGGTCATAAATGATTCACTAATTTTTCCACTAATTAGTTCAGAACGGCATAGTATGTTCTGTATGCTTGATACCTTCCCAAACATGATTTGCTGTTAGGATTTTAGATTTTAGCTAACAAATTGAAAGGCATATTTTTGCCGTGCTCATCCTTATCATAACATATAGATCCGTAAATCTATAGCTAGACACAAGTAAGAAATCACCATCAATTTTTTTTTATGTAGGTGTGATTGACTATCTATTGAATCTATCCTTTTAAGAAATTCTTAAACTTGACTAAAGATCCCTAAAAGAAAATATTCAGGTCTACTAATCAAAACAGGATTTGAAAATTCAGTTACATATGGTTACAATTATAGCACCCTCACATGCCTATTCGAAGGATGGTACCATTTTATTTTAAATTTATCCTAAAGTCTTGATTCTAATGGCCTTAAATTTTTATATTGAATATTGAAAATAACCTTTAAGATTTTTTCATCAATCTAGTAGAACTCTTAAAAATATTCTCTCACCTCTACGAGTATTCAAAAATCCCATTTATCTTTTTAAAGAGGCTCTATTGTCCGAAAAAAAAGTTTAAACATTTTTATTTATTTAAAATATTTTTAATTCGTTCACTATTTGGGCCAAAATCAGAAATATTTTTTTTTTGAATTTCTAAATTCTTTACCATTTGGGCTTATTTAGAATTTTTTTAATTAAATTTTTTATTTCTAAATTTTTTACTATTTAGGTCAATTTAGAAAATTTTTTTTAATTTTTAAAATTTTCTCCGTTTGGATCAATTTAGAATTTTTTTTTAATTTAATTTTTTTATTTTTTTATCTTCGAAAAGAAAATAATATGATAATTATTTTTATTGAAATTTCATTTAAATTTTTTCACCATTTAGGACAAGTTTAAAGAAAATTTTCACTTAAAAATTTCTTAGAAATTTATCATTTAAAATTTCTAAGAATCTCATATTAGATAATTATAAAATATTTTCAACCAAAAAATTTTTTATTTGAAAAAAATATAATAATTTTTATTAAAATTTTATCTAAATTATTCCACAATTCGAGATAAATTTAGAGAAATTTCTCACCTAAATATTTCTTACAAATTTACCATTTAAAATTTTTAAGAACCTTATCATTGGGTAATTTGTATTTAATTTCAAATTTTTTATTTAATTATTTTTTGGTTTTTTTATTGAAAATAAATATTAATTATTGTTGTTGAAACTTTATCTAAATTATTCTATCATTTGGGATAAATTTATATAAAATTTTTCACTTAAAAATTTTATAAAAATTTACCATTTGAAATTTTTAAAAATTTCATCATTAGATAATTATTATTTATTCTCAAAAAAATATTTTTATTCTTGTTTTATATTTTCTATTTTCCTAAAATTTAATCACACAAAATAATAAAACTAAATAAAAAATACCAAAAACAGAAACGGTTCAGCTTGGTGGCTTCGGCGCGACTTAGCTTCAGGTAGAAGGTGGCTCCAGAATCTTGGCTTGACAGCTCAGTTTGCGACTCGGCTTGACTGAAGCTAAAGGCAGGGACGAGGGTTGAAGGCAAGTCGAGCACTCGAGTCAGGTCACCCAACAATAAAACGCATGGATCTTGGGCTAAATTAAAATGCCAAAACAACGTCGTTTTGGAGCTAGTATAAAAGCTCGAATCTAGTCTTTCTTCATCAGATTTCTCCTTCCATCTTTCTCTCTTTCTCTCTTTCCCCTTTCTTTTTTCTCCCTCTCTCTTTAGAATCGATGAGCTCCGGTTGAATCTATCACCGGATTCTGAAAATAGTCACTAGAATCTGGGTTGGTTCGTTAGACATTCATCGAAAAATTTAACATTGTCGGAATCTTCAACCCAATTCTGGGATACTTGTTGAAAAATTTAACTAGCATCAAAAAATTCACTAAAAAATTTAATTGGTGTCAAAAAATTCATTGGAATTTGAAAATTTTTGTTGAAATCTAAGAATTTTTCAAATTTTTCTAGAAATCTTTAAATTTTTTTTATTTTTGCTTATCATTCTGCTTTTTGTCATATATTTTTTGCCTTTTCTATGTGCTTTTCCTTTGTTTTCTATCTCTGCTCTGTCCTGTTGTTGTGTTTCTGATCTGTGATCTATGTTTCTGTCTATTGTTCTGCTTGATCAGTGCGAATTTATAGAAAGTAATTAGAAGAATTTTTGATTAATCATAACTCCCTTTGATAAGATTTCTATATTATCATAAGAGAAACCAAAACCAACTACAATTCTACCAACACCTATCCACAATAGAATTTGCATTATCCCTTTTTTTTAATTATTATTATGATTATCTTATTATTTTACACTTAACTTAAATTAAAGATAAATCAAATGGGAAAAAAAACTAAAAATCAACAAAACAAATAATTAAATAACCAAAAATAATAAAAAATAATAAAATAAAATATAGAATAAAAATGAAAATAAATAATTAGGCCTGATAATATGGACTCTATTGAACCAGGCTCAGCCTAAACCAAATAGGATATCTACAATCCTTTGTAGCAAGCTTGATGGAAAAACTAACCTTCGGATAGCAATATTCATTTCAATTCTTAATTTCTAACTAATTATACGTATACGTGCACGGGCATGTGCAAGTCTGCTAACACATTATCTGTTTGTTTATACATAAATGTCTATGTAGGTACTCATAATCTCCATCTTTTGGTGTTTGGTTTTCTAGGTTGATCTGTACCTATTGTCGTATGGCTTCTGGGTTGGTGTTTCCTTTTGTTAAATTTGCATTATATTTATCAGAAAAAAAAAAAAACGAAAGTTAATTTTTTTTGTTAAATAAAGCATATACACATTTTAAGTAAAACATTAACGGCTAATTTTGAAATACGTGATAAACATGGCGTCTGGCAAGCACGTTGACAATGTCATGCATTAAATCATACTTGTGCATGCATAAAAATTACAGTCCCTTTATCTTTGGATTGAATTCTCCAATACAACCTCAAGGCTCTTAACCAAGCACCTACCCACTTCTACATATATCAATCTTTATATTTCATGCAAGATACCAACAAAAATAGTTAATTATTATCCAAGATGTATACGTGAACTTGAATATTTCAATGCAAAAATTGATATGTGTCAAAGTTTAGCATATCATTATAAATTTCTCGTCACTTTTGCCTTCCTCCCAGCATGCACAAGACACTTGAAAGATATCAGAAATGCAGTTATGGAGCAGTGGAAGTTAGCAAGCCAGCCAAGGAGCTTGAGGTGAGATGGCAATAATTTTATCATACTAGCACAATATTTGAAGTAACTGAATTCGAGAGTACGGCATGCTCATAAGCTGTTTTCTTTATTTTGACTTAAAAACGCCTTAATAAAATGTGACTATAGTCTGTCCCCCTTGGATGATGACTACATTTATAGTTTCTCATATTGTTTATCTTTGCTGTAGCAGAGCAGCTTCAGGGAGTACCAAAAACTGAAAGCTAGATATGAGGCCCTACAACAAACTCAAAGGTAATTCGTCTAACAGGCATATATACCTACCTTAGTTTTAGATTAATTGGGTAGGCTATTCTTCCATTGTATCTGTGTTTTGAACTGTTTTTCTAAGTGAATTTGAGAATGGGTATACCTTCGGAAGAATTGGAGAAGTCAACTTACTCTAGGATTGTAATTACTCCTGATCTAAAATTTTGAATATGAGCAATTTCATGTGCAATTTTGTTTGGTCCTTGATTCAACAGATATCTTCTTGGTGAAGAATTGGGCCCCTTGAACTCGAAGGAGCTTGAGCAGCTTGAGCATCAACTGGAGTCATCCTTGAAAAATGTCCGCTCCACCAAGGTAACTGGGTTTACATGTTTCTAAATTTACATCATCCAATAACCTGTTCGTCAACAGCTTAGCATAGCTCCCTCTCTCTTTCCTGTCCTTTGCAGTGTCAAAAGGCAGGTTATATTATGACTTTAAAAGACAGCTAGAAGTAGGTGTGAAACTATAAGGTTGAAGGGAAAATTTTGAAGATAATAGGGGTGTAAAGTTGCTTTACATTTGATCCTTCTATGCAAGTCTGGCTTGAGGCTTATGCAAATTGAATCATTTCCAAGCCAATTTTCTCAATACTTTCACCTAGCTTTTTCAGCTTTATTACTATGTTCCAATCATAGGTGCCATGACTTCAGCTCAAATCAGGTTCTTTCTAACAAGTTATTCCCTCTTTTAGTTGTACTTTGGAACAAAGTTTTCCATCCTTTTTGCAGAAGAGTTTCTTTATGATCCATTTAAATTACGATCTGTTTCACTTTTTGCCTTTAGAACTACTGATGTGGTTACCTCTGCAGTCTGCACTACATTCTTTTGTCTGTTCGACTCCTTTTTTTTTTAATGGGGTTTCCTTTTCCAATTTTATAGGATTTGATGGTAATAGACCCATAATAACTTGCCTCTTTTCCATGCTACTGTTAGTTGTAAAAAACCTACAAGCTTGCAGCCCCAGGCCTCTTATTAGTTATTGCATTGATGTATTAATCTTAATGATGAAATATATGGATCAATTAGTAGCTTCCACAAGAGCATGAAATTGGCAAATAGTTATAGTATATCAAACAAGGGATGCAAAATCGTAACACAACCATTCTGTTAAAATGAAGCTTTTTAAAACATAGCATATAACAGTTTTCTTCCATTAAAAATTTAATCATACCTTCTGTAACAAATATGTAGTAATTTTACGGTATGATTAACTTGTCATTGCATTTCTTTTTTCATTTCCCTTTTCGCTCCAAATGTTTTTAACTTACAATTTTCATATTCTAACACTTGCTTTATTTCAACCCCTTTTGCAGACCCAATATATGCTTGACCAGCTTTCTGATCTTCAGAATAAGGTATTTGAATTTTGGAAAAACCATCAGACTTAAGGTTTTTGTGCTTCTAATATACTAACAGGCTAACCGGCTTTGAATACAGGAACAAATGTTGATGGAAGCCAACAGGGCTTTGTCAATAAAGGTAAAATCATGTCTTAAATTACAATAGTATCTTGATATCATCTAAGGCATATTTATAGCTTGTTGTTCATGAACTTTTGACTATCTGATATGCTAGCTTGAATAACTCAACCATTATTGTCATAACTTATGAAATCAAATGAGTAGAGGGCTTTAAAAAAAAAAAAAAACTTGAATTGGAACTCCAGAGTTCAAATTTGGGCCAAATTTGAAAGATTCAGTTGATGTTCACAGGAAATATAAAGCAAACATGTATGTAAGAACATATATTTATGAATGTATTTGTCATCTGGATGGGGCAAACAACACATAACACCTGTGTATGTAAGCTGATGGAAAAGTTACACGCTAAATTAATTGCTTTTGTCGTGAGTATATATTTTCACCCTCCTTTAATTTGAAAGAGTTTTACAAATTTAAATCTGCCCTAGCCGAAGTTGTAATATAAATATATAATATACAAGTGACCCTAGGCAAGCATTTAGAGGAGTCAATTACAAGCTAATATCAAGCACCTTGGATCATTTTAAATACTTCCCTCCAACAAGCCACCAAGTCTCTCTTCCATGGACAAATTGCTAGTTTATATACGAAAATATAGCATTTTATTGAAGGTTTGATACTTAATTCCTTATAAGACCCAAAAAGAATGTGAAGTTGTATTCTTTTTTGATACTATGAAATGTAAAGAGTGTGACACTTTCTTCAGTTCTCAAGCTCTGCTGGCCTTCAGCCCTTACCAGTAGTTTTCTGTTTTCTTCTCTATTTGCCATCATTGTGAGATGCATACCTTTTTGTGTTTGGCAGCTTAATGAAATTAGTGCAAGAAACCAGTTTCAAGCATCATGGGAAGGTGGTGAGCAAAGTGTAACATACAGTAACCAGCAGACTCAATCTCAGGGCTTATTTCAGCCATTGGAATGCAATCCAACTTTGCAGATAGGGTAGGATTTCAATTCCTTAATTATTTTTACCCATTCCAATAGGTTACTACCTTGTCTATCACAATTCTTAATCTCTTAGATTTATTTCCTGCTGAAGGTATGATCCTGTCGCTTCAAACCATATAGCTGCTGCTACAACTCATGCCCAGCAAGTCAATGGCTTTATCCCTGGATGGACGCTCTAAATTTTTGCTTGCACCAATATGGTTAATGGTCATAAACTAGTAGCTTACCTACTAGGTAAATGCTTCTTGATGTTGGAAATATGTAAATGGTTTCAAGAGCATGCATAACCTGCATTGACATAAAAACAGCTGTGACTGAATGTCGTAAGACTATTGAAACCTTGAGCCATAGACAAAAAGGGCGTGCGATCAATTTATATATTATATTGCAAGACTTGACAAAGACTATATATTTTTGTTACTTCCTTCCTTTGATCTTTCGTGTATAGAGACAAATAATTATGGAATTATATTAAAATATTTAATATAATATCTAAATTTTAAAAATATCAAATATAATATTTAAATTCTGAATATATTAATTAATATAATACTTGAAAAATTATTTATCTGACATGTGATATCATTATAAACTAATTATATTAAAAGCAAATACGAAATTAATTAACATTTCATTAGAAACTATTCGTGACATGCATTAACCCTTGTTATATGTAAATATTTCTGGTGTCACCGGCTAAGCACTTACTCCACCGGTACTGATTTCTTGCCAGATTTGTTGAGCACAGTTATTCTTGCCAGCGATTTTTAGGTGATGGATTAAAGTTAATATTCCAGGGCATAACCACATGTTTGCTTCTCTTGACTTCTTAGACATCCATTTTTAGACAGCTAAATTCTTTGTCCATTTTTAAGAATTTGACTGGATATTGGTTATGGGTAGGAAGATGAGCTGCCTTACATGGTTCTTAACAGGTATCATCTAATCTAATCTTTCTGTGCATGAGACCTTCATTAGGAACATTACCAGTTTGTTAAGAATTTGATGAGCTCTAGAATTTTTTTTTTTTAGGTGGCAAAGGGTTCTGGCCATTGTCCAATACATTTTTTTCTAGATTAGCTTAAACAAATTTATTTACATTGAATTAATAAATTGATGAAAATTGTTTTATCAGTCACACAACAAATTCGAACCCAAAATATTTTAAAAAGCAATTTTTAATTTTTAAATTTCAAAGCTTAATTTCAGGACAGAAACACCACAAACATGAACTTAATATCTTTATCCAAAATTTTCCTCTAGATATTTTGTAATTTTCAATATTTATTGTGGGTATTGACGGTGCAAATTGAGACTATCCTAATTTATTTTTTTTTTTATAATTAAAATTATCAAAATTTTAATTTTAATCATTAAAATTAAAAATATAATATTCTATCAATGCGATATTTGCCTCTTAATTCAATAATTTTAAAGTGCATTTCGATTGCACTGCATTGAACCTCCGAAGATGTACGGTTGCAATGAATTTAAGTGCTCACCGGTGCATTGAGACCCAAATGGGTCTCCAGCACGGTAAGGCTGATGGCAGTGGGTCACCGGACGTTTTGGTCAAGTGGTTGATCACTCCTCAATTATTTTTCCTTCCAATTTTGCCCTTCTCCTTTTACTCTAAACTCAAAAATATCCTTTAAACTCATTTTTATTTAAAAGGTACAAAACAATTTTATTAATTTAATATAATAAATAAATTTTATTATATAATATATTGATAAATAATTTAAATAAATTTTATAAATATTAAATAATTTAAAATTTTATTATTATATATAATTTTAATTTAATATATTTAATATTTTTTTTTCATTAGAATTCACTTCAAAATCATTGTTGCATTTGTATCAACAAACATATCCTCACCGTTCAAAACAGATGACACCTGTCGTATCTAAGTGTTGGGCTGCAAAAGGAGGAAATATAGGCTGGTCAACTGACTATTTGGCCCAAAGGGCTAATGGCTCAAAGAGCTTCAGTCGAATCTATTTCTAAATTAACAATTCTAAAGCCATTCCAAACCAGGCCGAATCTACATCCTTCCGTAGAGCATGCAGCCGTTAGCTGTGTCTCCTAAAAGGTCAAAACCATACGCATTGTTCTGTTTTGAAATTTCTTAAATGTAAATGCATAGTTTAATTAAAAAAAATTTACTTTAGCATATTAAATATTAAAATTAATTTTTTATAAAATTAATATTCTATTTTTTTTAATATTAAAAAATAAAAAATAATCAAAATCAATTTTGAAGTGTAGAAAAAGCAAGAGTTGTAAGTGTTAAAAAAAATGTGAACATAATTTTGAAACATAAAAAAAAAAAAAAGGAGGAACAGAGAAACAAATGAGTCACATTGACAGATGTGATATCATGAAAATTTTGTCTTGCACAAGAAAAAAAATTTTCTAGGTCAAGAATCATATATAGGTTTTACAATACCAGGAAAAGGATTCAAAAAAGTATCCATGGATGATGTTTTGAGATAAAGATAAGAGAACTTTCGTATCCAATGATTTCTTTTTTTTTTTTTTTGTTGAAATTTGCTAATTGATAATATATTAAGCGAGGTCTCATTGGCATGAAATCATTTTTCTTTTTTTAGGTTATATCAAGAGAGCAAAACTTTAATATAAGTAAGGAGAAGGGGGAGGTTTAGTTCGAAATCAAATCCTTGATATTCTCTCAAACGTCTTTAAACATTAAATTAAAAGTTTAGGGACGAAATCATTTTTCTTTCTTTGCCAAAAGTAATATTTTTTATTATAAAGTAGTATAGGACATCATGTATCAATATAGAACACCTTTGATGATAAAAAAAAAAAGTTATCCATCTTTTAAATCATTCACATAAGAAAAATTTTCCATTTCTTAGCTATTTTTCAAAATTCACACATTGATTCACATGTTATATCAGTGATACACAATTCATACCATGGTGAGAAATGTATGAAAAAGAACAAGTAATGAAAGAATCGAATGCTTTTATATTTCTTTTTTTTTTTTATGTTCTTTTATAAAAAGTACCAAAATTCTGCATAAAGATTGTGAAGATTTTTAACTCATGTACCCTGAAATGCAATCGTAATAAGAATTATTAAATTAAGTCCCCAATAATCTCAATTCTTGAGAAGGTCATCAGAATCTTTCTCTCTTGTATGGTACTTTTCTTCTTAATTAATTTCTTTTTTTTTTTTAAGTTTTAATCATTTTTATGTTCAAATTGTACTACAATTTTCACCTTTTTTTTTCTAAATTAATGAATTATTATTCTTTATATATCAGTGTCGGAATTTTTAACTCGATTATCACATATTCATTTAGTTGTATTTATTAATTAATTTTCACATTTAATTTACAACCTTTAATAATATGTGATAGCTCTTTAAGTTTTTTTTGGCCAATGATAGCTCATGTGAAGTTTAAAAACTTTACTAATACAAATAATACATAGGATAGTTTTTTTTTTTTTTTAATGTTTGGTAATATTTTTTATAAAAAAATCATAATTTAAAATAAAAAAAATTATTACAAGTGCTTGAATTTTAATTTTAAACTTGTTAACTATTTTTTTTTTTAAATATAATTGCATGAATTAAATTAAATTAATAAGTCTCGGATTTTCAACAATATCTTTGCCCTTCAATAAATGGTTTAATTGGGTTAGGAATATGTCCTTTTTTTTAATAACGTTTGGTTTATGGTACAACAAGTTATAATCTTTGGGAAAAGACATTCCACAATGGGAACCTTGTTTTAGAGCTGTAATCTTTATTACTAAAAAAGATTCTTTTTCACAGTTTAATTAGTATTTTTTTAATAAAATGAGGGAGAAGGAATATTAACTCAAAGGATCAAATCCTACTTTTAAATTTTTTTTTTAATTAATGGCATGGTTATAGGTATTCAATAAACTTTTTAACCCAAAACAAAGTAAAAATTATTTTTCCTGGTCATTTACAAATAAATTCTTCACTGTCTTGAAATTTTGAATATAATTTTCTATAATTTGACCCTTTTTTTTTTAATAATTTTATGGTTAAATGATTTGTCAACAGCAAATAAAAACATGGATTAATTCTTAAAATTGGATATTTTTGCTGCAATAAAGTTAATCAAATGCATAAATTTTGCTTGATTCTGGAAGATCAAACATCTTTTCAACATCCTTTATTTGATCGATCCTTTTTAATTCCTCCCACAACCATGAGAATTCTTCTAGCATATCTAAAAGAGAAAGAAAATTGAATCAAAATCACTCATGAATTTCCTCATCACCATAGATATATTAATGTATTTGGCCTCAAATTTTGCATTGGGCTATAAGAGCAATAATCCCTTGAGATTGCAAAAATCGTGTGAGGAAAGTGAAGGGGATGAGATGAAGGAAAGGGCAAGTATTGTTCTTCTTTCTCTTCTTTCACTCTCCTTTTTTTTGAACCCTAAAATATCTTGAGATTATATTTTTCACATTACTCCACGTTTCCTATGAAATTTGATTCAAAAGTTGACGAGAGTTGTTTATTTTTTTAGTAATATTGATGAAAAAATCACTCTGATCTATTAATAGAGTGGGATGAAATCTAAAATTTAAGAATATTTTGTATTTTTAAGAAGCATGTCTATTATAAAATTAATCACATTCTCGTGTGTATCATTTTTAATAATACCTAAAAACTTTTTAAAATAGCATTCAATTTATCCTTTTGAGCCAAATATTTTTTATTTTTCAAAGGAAAATTATTAATTTTTGAATATATTCATGTAAATGACCCCATCTTTAACGAAGATAAGGACTAGTACGAGATAAATTATAAATTTGTTTGATGGTGGAATGGAGCATAGGGTTTGTGGTATCATGGTCCCCAAAGATCCTATGTAAAATGGGACCTTTCTTCAAAATTAAAATTAAAAATAAACTTATTTAAATTTTTTTGTTTTGGGACCACTTCCAAAAGAACCATGTTCACAGATTAAATTAAAAAATATAGTACTGTACTATTCTCTCATTAACCAAATAATAATTCATATTTTAATTTCATTCATGTACCAAGGGTTGGACCACAAGAATATGTATTATGCTTTATTTATATATATATAAATCTTACCATATATTTGGTCCCATCTCCAACTGAAGTTTGCATAAAAATATTTCAATTTTTAAAGCTATAAATTAAGAAAAATTATCATATTTATTGACAGGAAAATTTTTAGATTTTACAAACAAAATTAATAAAGTAACGTATACCTTTTAAGATATAAATAATAATAATAATAATAATAATAATAATAATAATAATAATAATTTAAAAGGTAATGAAATATATATGTGGCACCTTTTTATATATCTTTTATTGTTAAACTATGATCTCTTACCAAATAAATAATGCAATTATTTTTTGAAAGATAATTAACAATTAGAAAATGGGAAACAGTCACTCTCTAATTATATGCATAACCTTTTTTTACTTACAATTTTAATCTCAACCTATGTATTTCTTTTCTTTTTTTATATATATATAAGGATTAAGGAAAGGAGATGGCAAGGATTGAACTTATGCCTTACATGTTTTATTAAGATTTCTTAACCATTAAATCAAGAAGCTGAAGGCAACTATTTATTTCATATACTCTTCATCTCTTATAGGAAAAATGAAACGAGAAAAACAAATGTTTTTTATTTGCTTTAATTCCCATCTCTCTTATTGAACGTAACAATTTTCTTTTGTGAGACAGTTAAATTGTTCCAAGTTTTAAACAAATATTGAGACGAAAATTCGTCGATTGGGGAAACAACCCTTGTAGATGATTTTTTTTTTTCTATCAAACACCTCATCTAAAAATGGTAAACAGCTCAATGCATTTAAAATAAAATTTTTGTCAATATTAAACTAAAATAATATAAGAAAAATAAATTTTAAATCAAATCGAATCGAATTTAAATTAAAAAAATATAAAATCGGATGAAATTTAGAACAAACAAAAAACCGTTTTGACCGTGTTTAATTTGTTGCCATTCCTAATCCCTTCCTATATGTTTAATGATCATCAATCTTCTACTACCTAACATAGCAACGTAATAAACCTTAAAGATGAAGAAGATAGCTAAGAAAGTATGACCTAATTAGGCAGAAAGGATGGCCACGACAAAAAAAACAAAAATAAATTAGGTAGAAGGGGAAGCAAATGAAAGATGAGTAACAAACCCAAGAGTATTAATTATGGCAAGTAAGGAGGCAGTGGGAGAAGAAAGAAATAAATAGGGGCATTCAAATTTTAGTTTTAAATGAATTAATTCATTGAATTAATTTAATTCGATTAATTAATCAATTATTGATTAATTTTGATTGATTATCGAAAATAATTTTAAAAAAATTTTGGGTTTTCAATTAATTCAATTTTTAAACAAAATTAATCGAAATTTTAATTGAAATATAATAAAACCTATATAAAAAACTAAAAATATATGAAATTATCAATTTCATTTCAAGTTATTAAAGTTTTTAATTTAATAATTTGATATTTGAATGTTTTTGTTAGATAATTTTATTTAATTTATTTTAAATATAAAATATTAATAATTTAAAATTTAATTTAATGTATTTATTATTTGTTTAATTGAAAAAATTAATTAAATAATCGAATTAGTTTCGGTCAATTAATTTTTAAAATTAAAAAAATTAGTTTGATTAATAAAAATAAAATAATTTAATTTAATTTAATTAATTCGATTTTTGATAATTCAATTCGAAAGTAATTAAATCAATTGAATGAACATCCTTAAAAATAAATATGTAAATAAATAGAATATAATCAAAATTTATTACATGCATATTCTATTTATTTAGTTAAAAATTATTAACATATTGTTCATTTAATAAAAAATTGAATTTATTTACAAAATATTTGTTAAAATGATCTTTTAATTTATTTTTTTACATTATAAATGAATTAAATATGAACAAATTTTTTAATTTTTTAATCTTTTTTAATTAATGAAATTTAAAATAGTATTTATAATAAATTATTAAATTTAATAAATAAATATAAAAAATTAAAATTAAAAGCGGAGACTATTAGCGCCGTCGCCATAACACAGCACACGTACCTCGGTCCCACGCAAATCACAATGAATTTGCCGAAGAAAAAGAAAATGTACCGTCGCTGTTGCTGCAGTGCAGTACCACAACCTGTGGCTAAAAAACCAGTCACGGCTCACTAACGACTGTTTGTCTGTTTCAGCCTTTCAACCTATCATCTTCGACAACATTTGACCCCTAAGTCTACTACTTCCCCCCTATATTCTCTTTTCTCTTACAATAAAAAGCCAAAATAACTACCATAAATAAATAAATAAATAATATTTTATTACTACTCCCCTTTTTTTCTATTTTATTTTTTCCAATCTCTCTATATATGGAAAGATAAATAGGTTGAGAAAAAATTCAAAATTACTATATTCAGTTTAATTTTAATCGATTTTTTTTTCAATTTGAATTAAATTTAGATATTAAATATATATTATATTTAAATCAATTTTAAATTAAAAATAAAAATAAAAAATTGAAGCAATCTAAATTGTATATTTTATTAGTTTTTATATATTTTAAATTTTTAAAAAATAAAATAATTGTTTATATTTAATTTATTTGAATATATTAAAAATATATTAAAATAATTTATAAAAATAAAAAATTAAATTTAAAAAATAAATAAATTGAACCAATAAAATTTATTTCAAATTAAATCAATTACAAAAAAATGACTCAAATTTAAATTAAATTTTAAAAATTTATAATACTTTAAACAACCTAATCAAATTTAATACGATCCGTATTATTATCAATTCTATAAAATCAAAGCCTTCTGCTTCATATTACAACGCCAAAAAATAGAAACCTTTACCTCGGAATTTCCATTTTTGCATCAGTTTCATGTTTTCTTTTCCCATGTAGAAAAAACAAAAACAAAAGAGAACCAAAAAAACTAAATGAACTCATATCTTTAGCGTTTCTTGAACTTTATTTTTGTTTGTTTGTTTAGTGAGAATTTTTTTTTTCTTTTTAAGAGTGGCAAAAAATGGGGAGAGGTAGGGTTCAGCTAAGGCGGATCGAGAACAATACTAGCAGGCAAGTAACGTTCTCAAAGAGAAGAACTGGTTTGCTAAAGAAAGCTCATGAAATCTCAGTGTTATGTGATGCCGAGGTTGCTTTGATTGTTTTCTCTAACAGAGGGAAGCTCTTTGAGTACTCATCTGAATCCAGGTTTTTACAAATAATTCTTTCAACCACTTAATTTACACTTTTAATCTCTTAGTTTTGCCTGTTATTGCATGTTTTTATATTTTTTTAGTTTCTGATTGTTTTTAAGTTCTGGGTCTTTGTTATTTTCCTTCCTTTTGTTCATTACTGCACTGTTCATGGCTTTGCACTACACCAAAATCTTCAGCTTTCTGATATTATTTGATCTATCCTTCTCTCATATAAACACTATAAAAAGGCTAAGGAAAAAACATGAATAAAACATAGGAATTTTTTCATTTGTCATTTTAGATGTCTTTTTCTTTGCAAAAACATTTTTCTTCTGGTATATATTGCCTCTTCCTTTACTTAAAGAACTTTTCTGTAAATTTTTGTTTTTGTTATTGTTTGTTTGTTGAGATTTTATGACATAAAAAGTTTCTGTATTGATTTGTCAGATAGAAGTGAAATATATGTTGTCTAACCTCACTAATAATCTGTGTTTAGTCTTAATTTTATAGTTTTTGTGTTTAACCTCTCAAATAATATGTGTTTAGTTTTAATTTTATCTGCGTGTACTTTCATATAGAAGTTTAACAGGAAATCTTTGAGTTGCAGATTATGGGATGAGTTTGCTTATATTATAGCAAATGATATATAGTACCTTTATTTTTGGTTATGAAAAATTGGTTAAACAAGATTAATTCAACTTTGAAAAGTAAGTTTATTATATATGTCTCTTCCTTTAATTCAAGAAACTTTGCTTAACATTTTTGTTTTTGTTTGTTAATTTGTTAAGATTATATGAAAAAATCTTTTCCTGTATTGATTTGTCAGATCAGATGTGAAAAATGCTACATATTGTTTAACCTCTAGCTTTAATACTGGTATGTTCATGGAAGTTTAACAGGAAATAATTAAGTAGAAGATTATGGAATGATTTGGTTAAATTAATGAAAATGGCAGTACCCTATAATGTTGGTTGTGCAAAAATTTGTTAAAACCACGTTACTTCAACTTTGAAGCCTAAGTTTAGACAGCTTTGTGTCATAGGGCTTGGTGTTATAGCATTCCTCCTTTTTTTTTCCCCATGTCTTTTGTATTTAGTTTTTAACCTAGGATATTGGAACTTGTTTTTGATTCACCTTGGAAAATGCCCCCTAATAATATTAGCTATGTTCATAGGCATTATATGCATATATATTATATGTACGTATGTATATACGAGTGTGTGTGTGTGTGTGTTGGAATACTGAGGAAATCAATGTAACTTTTGTTATTTACAATTTCCATATTGATATTTCAACATAGCAGTACGAGCCACTAGCTAGAGGCATGCAAGCTACTAACATTTCATGTTTTCACTTTGTAGATTTCCAGACTGAAAATGATTTTGTTGTGTCTAATTACATTATTATATTTCACTTAATTTTATTTTAACTTTGTTTCAAGATATTCACACATGGATTTTCACTGTTTTACTCATATCCCATTTTCCACAGAAAATTTTAAATTGAGTGAGGTGAAGTGTATTTAATTATGCAATGGATTCATTGGAGTTGAGTTCTCAAGCATAACTGTTCACGAGTACATGAATATTTATTATGATTTGAAAGATTTAAAAAGATAATAAATTACTGGACTGGGTTTGGTGAAAAAATAGCCTAATTTCTTGAATATGACACTAATTTTCATTTCCATTTATTTTATGAAGAGATATACAAATGTAAACTCAAGAGCCATCCTATATTTAATACTGTAATCGTTGACTTCCCAACTAGGTAAGTGTAGAAGGAAATGAATTAGTTTACCAGAAAAATACTCAAAAGTCATAAACTGAAGGGAAAATTAAATACGTTAGTTGAATGTATGATTTCTTGCATTTGCAGTAAGTTTTTAAGTCTTGAGGTTGTCTAAATTTTCTTAGAACTTTATATTGGAATAATTTATTTCTCTAAATGTTTACTCATAATTTATTTATTTTTATTTTTGTTATTTTCTAGAGAAAAACATCTTTTATTTGTTAGTAATAGCATATATATATATATATAAATAGAGTTAAAATCTTGCATGAAAATATTGTAATGCTCAGACTTGGGGTGGTGTGTGTTTATGATTATTTTTCCTGCCATTGGTTCTTGAATATCATTTGCTTGATCTAGCTTCGAAATGCTCTAAATTCAATGTTAAATTCTGTTGAAAACAATCAACTTCCCAAGAGCTAGAGGGCTATCCAAATTTGATAACAATTTAAGTTCTTAAAATAAATGAAAAAGAAAACTTTCATTCATATCAATTAGGCACCATGACAGAAATTCTTCAATCGTGTGAGCCAAACAATTTCAGACATTCAAAAATAAATGAAAAAAAAAAAGGATAAAAAGAAAAGGAATGAGCTATTAAAGCAGAATGTAGCCCCTAAAAGAATGCTATTTACTTTGCTATACCCTAAGTTTTCAGTGTAAAGATCCCAATATACCCACAATTTGGGGGTACATATGGAACTGTTATTTTCATTAGATTGGGATGAAGTTCATGTCAACTTCAACAGAGTTATAGTTGTGAAATCTTGCATGAGACATGTATAATATTTCAATGGCTTCACAAAAATGTCCAGTTCTGGTCCAACATTTGCATTAAAAATCGAGTCCTGATATTCCTGTGTTGCATCTCCTTTTAGCTTTCTTTTTTTTTTTTTTTGGCCTTTATGTTTTTTCATTTTTGTCCAATGATATTAGACTATGCAATGAGAAACAAACCATCTTTTATCTCATAAACCTCTCAAGATTTGCTCAACATTTGAGGCATTTAGGATTCAATTCAGAGTTTAAAACAACCCTAAATAGTCTTTAATTATACCAGCTAAACCAACTGAGACAACCTAGATTATAAGCAATAACATAATTAGACATCATTACTCAACCTTTAAAATTGATTAGGTTTTGGATTTCTGATAAATCCATGAATTTAGTGAGACACATTTAAGGAATTCAGCAAAATTAGAATGGTCTTTTTTTTTTTTTTTTGATGAATTCAATGAACATAAATCCCAACAATGGCATTCATAACACTTACTGACATTCATGTACTAAAAGTGCATCAAGTCTTTTCTTTGATTAGCTCTTGTATTATTACAGGATGGAGAGGATCCTGGAACGATACGAACGACAATCATATTCAGAGAGACTGCTCGTCCCAACTGGCTCTGAATCACAGGTATGTCTTGCTGCAAATCATGAAATTTATGCAAAATGTACATTGTCAGAGTAAATCATTTATTCCATTGCAACTGTAGGTTGCAGCAAATCGTTTATTCTTTTGAAAATAATTGTCAAGCTAAGGTGTCCATTTCGTGATTTTACAATGGAACGTATAAAACTGTATTACACACATTGCGTATACATTAAATGTGTTTGGATATCCATAAAAAAAATGGCCATAAAAAGTGTGTTTGAGGTGTGGGTGTAAATAAATAACATTTTTGTTTATTAGTTTGTGAACAGATTCAATTTTTATTCAGTTATTAAGTTTAATAAATGATTTCAAATAATATTTTATTATTTGTTAAACGAATAAATTATGAATATAATAAAATTTATTCATATTTAATTCGTTTATATTAATAATGTAAATGAACAAAAAAAAATTTACGAATATATTTAATTTTTATTTATTTATGTTAATTTATTAAATTCAACAAACAATCAAAAATAATAATTTAAGATTCATTAATTAAATAATCAAATCTCAAACATAACAAAATTCATTCATATCTTATTTATTTACATCATTGGTTTGAGAGAGGGTAGAAAGGTAAATTAAACCCCTTAAAATCTAGTTGGAATTAGAAGTATTAGATTGAAAGATTCTTAGAGTACGAGTATTCCATTTTGATGACTAGAGCCTGTGGTCCCTTTTTACCCTTTAAAATCATATTTTGTAAAGATTTTGTAAAGTATGGTAATAATGACTAAACTAGCTACTTTATTGTATTCCCCAGCCAGGTAGACATTTGTATCTCTTCTCTGTCTTAATTTTTTTTTTACCAATTCATTGTTAAGGTCTTAGAGCTTCCTTCATTCACCTACTTAAAAACAAAAAGAGTTCCTTGTTCTGTATATGTTTATATCTACTGTACTGTATTTGTTTTCCATAAAAGTAGTCACTATAGCAAAGAACAGACATTTAAACCATGCATGTTTCTGGTTCTGCTACTTCTATCACCAAACATAAAAAAATTCGTTTATATAAGTATGACTGTATCTGATGCACCACTGTAGCCATGACTGCGAATTCTTGAAATTTCCTTTGATAGTCAGAATCTTTTAGGCTGAGATTTGTAATTGGATTGTTAGTGCTTGTTGATTTAAAGGAAAATGAAATCATTAATTCTTTAATCCTTTTCTGAATGCTACACAGGCAAACTCGACTTTGGAATGTAACAAACTCATGTCAACAGTTGAAGCTTTGCAAAGGAACTTGAGGTACAAATGTAACTTCATGTGAATGATAGAACATTGTCTAGGGTTGGATTGGATTTACTGGAAAACTTAAAATCAACTCAAGCAAATGAGATATTTTACATTTATCATGCAGGCACTTTCTTGGAGAAGAGCTTGATCCCTTGAGTCTGAGGGACCTGAAACTTTTGGAACAACAGATTGATAATTCTCTGAAGCGCATACGAACTAGAAAGGTGAAATAAGCATGTTCAATGATTTCTATGAAAATTTCTGTTATATATTTATATGAATGCTTTATTTTACTCACTCATGTTTTGTTCTGACATGCAGAATAAACTCATGCTTGAATCCATTTCAGAGCTGCAGAAGAAAGTAAGATACTTCTTTGGCATATGATGAAACATTTATCACGACTTGGATTAATATTCTAAAATCCAAAATTAAATTTCATGAAAGAATACTGCCCCAGTTTTTTTTTTTTTTTTTTTTTAACATTAACACAGGTAGACATTATAATATGTTAAATGGCAACCAAGAGAGTTCATATAAAAATCCCAATTATCTGGTATATGCTATTTTTGACATTGAAGCTTGTGACAGGAAAAGACATTGCAAGACCAGAACAACATGCTAGCAAAAAATGTAGGAACTACAGCTTCTACACTCAAACTTCCAAAGCTTGCATTCTGTTTTTCAAATATTAAGTTTCTAGCTTCATCTTTGACTTCATTAATTTTTTTGCCATGGATATAGCTCAAAGAATATGAGAAGAGACTACCTGAGCATGCACAATGTGAGCATCAAAACTATGCCCAAAACTCATCATGGTCCATAGTACAACCACCACCGCCACCAGCAACAATACAGTTTCCTTCTTTGACTATTGGGTACTATCTCTCATTCTCTTTCATGCTAGCTAGTTGTTTGATTGATCTAGGATTTTCTTTATTTCTTCCTTTTTTCTTTTATTAACTTGAAAGAAATTAATTAATTGAGGCAAACTTTTTTTTCCTGTAAAGTGCTATTGAAATCGGTCCTGGGGAAAACTTCTTAAGCAAAATGCAGCACTGAACTGCAGTATTTTCTCCAATACTCATTCAATCGGACTGATGTCCAGTTTTGATATGAATCATGCAGAGGTTGTTACCAGGCCATAGAAGGTATAACCAAGGAGGCTGAGACTCAACCCCAGCCTAGTATCAGTACTGTGATACCCCCCTGGATGCTTCGTCATTTAAACAGATAGAAAGCTGACGCTGAGACGAGCAGTTCGAATCAAACATTTCAAACAATGTTTTTATAGAGTGAGAATTCTTGACATACCATCGCACAAAGTTCAAATGCAATGAGAAAACTATAAGTTGTTTATTTGAAAACTCAAAATTGTTTTGAGACTGCGGCATCCTGCTATCCCACTGAAGTATTTAAAAGGTATATAAAGCACATTGCTTAACAATTCTGAGACCAAGAATATGCATGTTGAATGCAATATCAAAGTGGGAAGTACATGTTCTACTCAATCTTCAATGGATTCGTTTCTTTTTGTTCCCATTTGGTATTCTACAATGCATTCACACAAGAAGATAGGAGGATTTGATGCATAACAGTGGCAATTTCAACCTGTAACTTTTACACTTGATCAAGGGCCTAATTGGCCTTCATTTTCATTTGTATCACGATGTAAGGAGAGGGGAAACGCATGAAATTCAAATGGAAAGAAAAGATTCTCAAAAGCATTACTGATAAATTACTTGGCCATGAAGTTCAAAGGATATTCACTCTAGAATATTCTATTTCTGTTAAAAGCTGAGATGATTTCCTCCAACAATGTTTTGAACTGTCCTTGACAACCTCCATGAAAATAGCACGTTTCTCATGAGCATCATACCATGCTGTCACTTTCACCACAAAATATCCACCTCAAGTGCCTTCTCTTTTTTATTAAAAAAAATATAAAAAAGAGCTTTCTGCATGAAATAATCCATTTTCTTTTACCTGCAGTAAAAGAAAACATTGATTTTAGCAGAGGGTGAGTGCGATGAAAAGGAAATTCAAAATGCCAACTCCTTTTTTTCCTTGAAAGTTAGATGAGATTTTATTGATGTAAATCAATTACAAAGTTCGTTCAGGAAGGAAGAGCACACCAAATAACAAATTGAGACCCACTCCACATATCCCATTCCAATGCCCCTAACATTAATCCCATATATTAAACAAGAGTCAAATGCCAATCCTTAATTTAATAAAGAGAAAAAAAAAATGAACTGTTTCTCAGAGAGCTTCTGCTGCACTCCTATTGCAAAAGCAGGACTTGAGCAGTTCAAAATACAAAAGAAAACACAGTGATGCCTAGGGTGAAAATTTCTACGAAGTCATATAGAAACAAGTTTGTCATTTGATGTCATTGCTTAGTTTGACTGTCCTAACCATTTTGGCCATCAAGACAAACATAGAAAAGATTTTGGTATGATTAATATAATTTGAAAGCCAAGCCTTGCTTTCATCATATACGTAATTAATATATATGTTATCCTATAATTCTACAGACATTGTAATGAAGGTGAGGGAATTCGTAGTGACCTAATGATTTTGTACTCAATTCTTGAGATTGGTGATGTCATCTTGATAATTGCAATCACCAGCATCAGGCGAATGCTCCCTGCAGAAACAAAGGACTGACATGTCTTTCATCAAATTGAATAACATAGCAAGGAAAGAGAATAAAAGAAGAGAACAGAAATAAGGATGAAAAGGCTTTGAACGGAATTATGGTTCTCTCCAAATACAAATCATAGAAGCTTCCATGATGGATTTAAATTGCGATAACGGTCACATTTTTTGTCGCGTTGTGTTTGTCATGGTTACAGATATAACGGAGATTTTCGCGATCATTACGGTTATCGCGATCGAAATTTTTTTTAAAATTTTGCTCAACTTATTATAAAATATAGTAATTTTAATTATTAATAATAAAATCTCTTATTTTATGATTTTTCAAATAATTTATATCATATCATGTATTTTATTTATTTAAAAAAATATTTATAGTAAAATATTCATATTTAAAAAATTATTCATATGATAGTTAAAAAATAACAAAAGATAAATAAAGATGTAAAAAATAAATAATTATAACGAATGATATATTTAATTATTTAATTACCGAATTATATTATGCATAAATCAAATAATAAGTAATTAAATATTCATAAATTAAGTATTATTATTTATGGCCCGAGAGAATTGCTTTTTATAGGCTTACAGTAAATCAAATTTGGTAACCTTTATATAGTGGGCAATCTTCAACAACAATAACCTCAAGTCTAATTTCTCTGTCTCTTGACTAAATTGCACAGACCCACACAACTTCTCATCCTCTTACCTTGCATTCAATAATTTTTTTTTCTAAACCTTCATCCTCATTTACCTCTCTCAATTCTTTTTTATTTTTTTTTGGTGTGTGCTATATTTGCTCATCTTCTTCAACCTCAAGTCTCACTCTTATCTCTTGTCTCTCATTTTAAGTCTTAGCAACTCTTGCCCTTTTTTACCAATGTAACATAACCCAATCCAATTTCAAACACACAAAATCACGATAAATTTAAAAATTAAAAAAATAATAATAATTTGAATACTGAATTAATTACTTATCTTAAACTGCATATACTTAATCTTAATTGAAGTTGAATTTAAAAGAATTGATATTTTTAAAAATTTAAGCTTTGTGGGTTTTTTTTTTCTGAATTTATAAATTGATGTTTATTTTTTTTCTTGCTATTTTTATTTTAAGTTTTTAAACAAAATCAAATGAAATTTTTTTTAAAAAAAAAATTTTGAATGAAAAACGGAATAACGGACAATTGCGAACCATTATTATCACTATTCAACGTTATGCCGCAATTCGCGACCGTGATACATCTGCTATAAGCGAGATTCAAATTCTTTCCCGCTTTTTCTTCAATAGCAGTGGTAGATAATGGTGTGACCGCGAAATAACAACCGCTATACTACTATCCGATCGCTATTTAAATCTTTGCCTATGACATCTAAATTTTGCCATACAATAAGACAAAGCAGACAATGTGTATGACAGTTGACTATCCTCCATAAATAATGGTATCACATCTAGTGGAAATTTTATACAAGGAGCCTTAAGGTAGAAATCATGCACCACTCAAAAACTTGAATAAAGAAAAGCATCGGACATGAAATCCTATATGAAGCCAAAAAAAGGAACCAGTACCACAGTCTCGCAAAAAGACGTGCTAAAGTATCTGATCCTGTTCGAGATGCAAAATCCTCAATCTTCAGCATTTGCTAAGGTAACACCGTCTGCAAGGCTAAACTCCCAAAGATATTTCAAGGAACATGCATCAGTCAATACAGCAGAATGACCACCACCAGCTGCTAGTTTTCGCACTTCACCAACACACCTACAATATAGGATTGTCATCAAAACAAAAACCACAAAATGTTGCAAAATCTATCACACAACAATTGGGCTATGCATACCAATCAACTGGTGACGGATACCATGCATATAGATTTCTGATTAGCTGCCTGACCATAACTATTGTAATCCCAACCATGAATTCTTCCATCTTTCAAACACATAAGTGTGTGAGAATGTCCACAAGCAATGAGCTAGACAACAGTGGGGATAACCAAAGCAGGGATATTACAAAAGAATAAATCATTAGGGTTGCATGAAAAGATTCCCGTCTGAGGGCCAAGGCCTAACTGTTCTAATTGACCACCACCCCAGGCATAGAGCGCTTCCTGTGAAGTTAAAGCACAAGTATGTGCCCCATCACAAGCAACATCCATTATGCATATTCCACCAAGAGCAACAACTCTCCTTGGCAATAACTCTTTATCACCAGATTGAAGGGAACTGTGTCCAACTTGACCCTTATTTCCTAGACCCAATGCCGATAAGGTGAAATCTTAACATCACATTTTGAAACATCAACCATGTGTATCTTTGAAAACATGATGAATGATGTCTGTGTTGATATAGCACACGAGTGCATGGTAATATACATTATGGATAATGCTTGTATGTATGTTGCAAATTGGAACATGCATAAAAGTTAAAATCGAAAAAATCCATAAAAAATAGTATTACTCAAGGAACTGACATATAATGACAATAATCATTAACAACTTGGAAAAAGGAAGCGTATATCAGCGTTACGCTATTTAGTATAAACATTTTATCATCAAGCCTAGCTTTGATAATCATAACATAAAAGATAACTAATGTGGAGATAGCATACTCCAATAAAAGCCTAACTAACATGAAACTCAAGAATCTGACGTCTCTGAAAAGAAAAGACATGAAAACGAGCTTCATGCACTAAGAGCAAGAATTAACAAAGCGATTAAGAAATTTTTTATTTTTTATGAATATATGACCACCTCTTTTCATGGCATAACCAAAGTGAGGGAACACAGACTTGTATATCAGAATTCATCTCATTTCCCTTGCATCCCATCTCTTGACTAGGTGTGAGATTTGTATAAGAAAATATATCCAAACCCTCATATAAAGCAAAGTAACAAGTGTAACATGGATAACCACAATTCTCTCACCCCTCTCTCCATTCCTTTTCTTGGTAAGTGAAATGAAAATCACTAAAGATAATAGTTCTTCTACGACATAGTGCCTGTTAAACCGGAAATATATAAATTAAAGAATCAAGTCTCAAGGAACTTAGATAACGGTAGCTCTATCCCTCAAAAGCTCTTCTATTTTTTTCTTTCCCTCCTCAAAAGCCAAAATTGAGCGGAAAAATCAACCAATTTTCTTCTACGTGTACAAGCACATACACTCTTTCAAACCCACAAATTCCTCTCCAATTGAACCTGCCACCAAATGACTTGGATAAACACAATTCCTATACTTAAACGCAGATCTTATCTCCATCTAGTAAGTCCTTTGGAAAACTTACACCTCTCCTTGTTCAGAAATAGCTGCAGTGTGGTACTCCCCACATGACACGTAGGTAATCTTCACAAGCTCAGGAGCTTCAACAAGGAATTTTGCATATGAACTTATTGCATGAACCCCCCCGTAACCCTTCACAAGTAATGCCTCTGCCAAGCTGACCATACTCATTATAGCCTGGTTTATCAGAACAGTGATAAATATCGATTAATAGGTGGCAGGAAACTAGCATGAGTTCCTAAGTTTCCTTCCCTACAACAAGCTTGTAATAGGACTTCCCTTGATAAAGCAACTACATGAGCTACTGCATGGGACTCTTGACTGATGATCTGTAATAAACCAAATGCATAAAAGTCTCATATAATAGAGCATTGAACAAACAGTTATAGAGCACCTGATCCTTGGTTATAAATCATGATCAAAATACATGTGGAAAAAGATCA